CAACAGAAAAAGACATAATATTATTAAAAATAAAGCATATCAACTCCATAGGAACACACCTTGGAGATGTTGTTTGCTGGAGGTTACACTTCTGTCTGGTGTTGATAAAACTGTAGTGGCTACCAGAGCACTCAGAGCTTTTTTGCTTTCTTGTTCTGCAGAATATAATGAAATGTACATCATCAACATTTGAGAACACAAAAGAGATTAATAAATTGTGAATGTTTTCAATGTTATGGAGTGCTCTGAAATGATCACAGTTTAAATAAGGCAGTACACAACATGGCTTTGACCTCTTTATATGCTCTGTGCTACAGATTTTTATTAACATAACACGATAAAACATGCTTGTTTAGCCAATCAGCGCATGTAGATTCTGAACTGTATTACATAATGCTACAAAAGCTGCAAGCCACAAAGGAAATATCTTTGCAATAATAACAATATTCTAGCTCCTTTCTAGCCATAGTTGAACCCTGCTATTTTGAAAAAGCCCATAACAAATGACTGAAAGGCAAACCCAAGGGAAATGGTTTTCAGTTGAAAATAATGATGAATTAGAAATAACCGAGTTTGAATTAGCGGAGTCCAACTGTACAGTCTTCATTTCCTCTCATGCAGTTTAACAAACTGCCCAGTACTCAATGTTCAAAGACAAATGTGCTTAATACCTTGCAAGTCATTTATTGGCCTCCACGAACCATCCTCGTGAAATGAAATCTCATTACAATTTGCAGCTGCTTCTAGAATCTCCTTAAACAATCTGCAGGGACAAAAAAGCCTTGTTTATTAGCTCCAAGAGTCTGAAATTCCCCATGTCTAAATATAAAATTGAAGGAAGTACATTACCAAAATAATAATTCAAATCTCCAGATAGTCACTGTAGGCAACTTGGTGTGGAGCATATGCACATGACGTCATGGCAGCCATATTGGTGTTCCAAAACAATGAAACGGCGGCCATATTGGTGTAACAAACCAATCCTGTGGGAGTTCAACCCTTTTCTTAAGAAAACACTTTCTTTTGTTCCACTAAATTTGCATGGCTGCTGGACCCATGAGTGAATACACTCTACACCCAAAAATCAGTGTGGTGGATGAGATCTCTGAGATTTGCCCGGCAACTAAATAGCTGGTGATTCAGACTGAGCAGTTCAAGCCTTTTTCCTTGTGGTATTATTAAAATGATCACAGGTCAGAGTTGATCTCATTTAACACCTGAAATGCCGATACACTGTTTGTCAAATTGTGAACAACTTGATCAAATCATTTATGGTTTATACTTTTTTTTTCAACAACCTTTTGTAGAACTGGTGTCAGTGTTTTCTAAACAAGAGCAAGAAGAACTAAAGGCTCCTACCCGTCCAATACAAGTTTTCCAAATGTTGCCTTCTGATCACAGACTGGACAAATCCATGTTGTTTTCCTATATCAACGATAGAAAAAAATAGGGTGTAAGGAGTTGCTGTTAATAAACTACCAATATCTACATGTAGGACAAACCGTACCTCTAGCTGGTTTTCTTCTACCATACAACTAAAGGGTCCAAAGAACTGATGAATAACTAGATAAATCAAAAAGTCTGGTACAAATTTTGTTGAGTTTGCATTGGACCAGATTCAATTTGGGCAAGATTCAAGCCAGATATTACCAGAATTTCCAAGAAATGTGTGACATATAAAATAAACAGAAGTTTTGTATCAGAGCAGGCACACAGGCCTGGATGCTCTTGTTTGGATCTTAACTTCGAAATCTCTGGCAATATCATGCTGAAGTAAGACTGAATTGTACTCAAATTGCATATGGTTTAACCATGTGATTTCAATTGCAACATGGTGCGACAAAATGATTCAAATGCATATCCAAGCAAAGTATCACTACAGGGAAACTTCTTCAAGTTTGAGGCAGAGGAACTTCTCACACCTTATAATTATTTACATGCAATGTAAATACTATCCCATGATAAAAACGTCAGAAAATCCAAATACTAAATCAGTGAGAAAATAAATGAGCACTAGACAGCAAACCTCAACCTCTTAACATGGATTTTTTTTGGAAATTAAAGAGATAAAATTAGGAAATTATCTGAATACCTTTCATTCATTTGCAAATACAAGGCTGCATCAAAGCACTGTAAATGGTTGCAAGTGATGGCCCTGTAAACAGAATACAAGGCAGCTCAGAAATAACATAAAAAAGAGTTGTACATCTAGATTATAGAAGTTTGTGTACAGCATAATCATACAAGCATAATTAACAACTTATGCATAACCAATTAACTTTATACACTAAACAATTATAGTTTGCAAATAACTATCTTTATATTTATGCATACATTTTATGGATATGTAATCATCCTTTGAACTTACTGAATTTATTTTATGGGGATTAAAGCACATAGGCCTTATATGAATCACATGGCAAGAAAAGGACTGACGATGATGAAGACACATCATTATCAAGTCTCTGCATGCCAGTAGGTGCATAAGACTGAGATGAAAACACATAACAAATATATACTACAAAAAACATGAGACTAGAGACTACATGCAAGTGCCAACATAAACAATGTATGCTCTAACACTAGTCGCCTTCAGAAATTACTAACCTACAGGGAAGGGTCATCCGTGTCTTGCCAAGCTGAAAGAACAGTAAAGCCACAATGAGTCGAAGTCTCACATCACAGTCTAGTGAAGACTAGACTAAAGAAGGACACTTTGTGTCACTTAACATTGATCTAATGGCATGGCAAGCCCACATTGGAATCATTGGAAGACTATTCTGATGCTGTTAGTTTTCGTTTGCGATTGTTTGTTTTTTTTTCTGTTGAACAGCCTTAACTACTGTTTAGGAAAGTAAATAAAAGAAAAAAGAAACCCTTAACAGGTATGGAAGACAAACATGCAAAAATTGTGGTTGAATTTGTTTGGTTTAGTGATTATACTACAAAAAAACCTTCCGTTGTTGATGCGCAATTGGCCTTTTGTTCTACACTAGTTGCCAAATTTAGTCCCCAAATGTTCTTTAGCTCACTGTGGCAACCAAAATAAGTGCAGCTTGGAGCATTGAAAAACCCATAGAATAAAGGATTATTGTAAAAAGAATGTACTACACTTTTAGTCTCAACAACCAACAGCTGTGATAAAAATGAAAAAAATAACATCTTTTACATGAAATTTTACTCACTGGGCAGAGAAGTGAGACTCGTAGACTTGTGGTGGCTACTTCACTGTCTGGGTCATGGGCCAACTTTTCCTTGACTTGAATAAAAACACCAAACATCAGACTTTAAGCTTGATCAGTTGAAACTGACAGCATTGTTTTTTATTTAGGCTAACAGATGCCCACCACTGATATACAAGTTTTACCAAATGCAGGCAAGTAGATTTTGAAAATCATATGCATGCATTAATCCCTGTGGCTACTGATGTAGGCTACTGCTAACATAAGACACTTGTAACTAATGATGTGCATCTTTACTGTCTTGCAGCAGAGGTGTACAAAAGTAATAGAAATGGTAAGTTGCAATAACTTATAGCTATAGATTGGAAATTACAACTTACAATGATTCACAAAGGCCACCAGGACTAAGAAATTTGAAAATGTTGCTTTTTCAGGAGGAAGCAAAATCAGAGTTACTAGGAAAAACCCTTGACACGAGGAAAACTCAACAAATGTACATGGCACCACGCCATGATTGAACCCCGGACACACTGGTGGAAGGAGAGCCCTCTCACCACTATGCCATTCCTGCTCTCCATTTCTTAAGGATTTCAAAGATCACCAAAGATGATCAAATGCATGTGTCATCTATTGCATTGTTATTTCCAGTGATCACTCTCCGGAACTATAGTATATATGCAACTGCAGCACTCACACAAAATTGTAAACTGTTGAAGAATTTACTTGGAACTTGAAATCATAGATAACCTATAGAAAAACTTACTCAATGCTCTTGAATGATCAGGGTTTCTGTAGCCATGTGCCTTCAATCTCTGTATTAAACAACTTGATGTGACAGCTCTAACTAGTTTTGCTGTTACCACATGTCTCTGTCCACACAAAAAATTACAGAGGCATTTAGTTTGTTTGTACTTTTCTACCATATAACTTGTGGAAATAGTTTACACAAAACAGTTAGAATAAAACAGAACACAAGAATAAAACAAACATATTATTGACTGAGTAATTCAGAATCCTATGGTTTTAAACTTGAATACCCTTACCTGCCCATATTTTGGAGTCCAGGTAATGTGAATGTGATTGGCTACAGTTGGTGACAACCTACACAATGGAGTTATATTGACTGGCTTACTAGGCCTTTTTGATTCAGTATTAGGATTGCAGTGTTGTGACGTGTTCCCCTGGAAGTAAAAGTGTCAATCAATTCCAGTAAAACATGAGAACAAATCTTATGACTTGTATTTGTCACATGAAGGTGTACAGGTAACTAGGTAAAGGGGTATACATGTCCATGAAGTTGCTCTCCATCCTTCTGGATGGGTTGGTACAGTTATCATTTTGTCAGGCTGCCTTCTTTGGCTAGCACCGTCAAATCATGCTCTTACATGTAATCACTGTCCTTGATATGGACACCTTGTTATTCTGGACAGTGGATTTAAAAGATATGTCATGGATATCTTTTCTTTAAATTATTTTATATTATTTTATATTATTTTATATATCTCTGTATTAATTAATGAAAAAAGGGTAATAAAGAGGATGTTGTTGTTGTTGTTAAAAAATACTGTTAATCTAGTCCAACACACCAGCACCACAGTATTCTCATAACAGGTCTACAAGTACTTTAATGGACTCAGTGTCAAAATCTCAGAGTGAAAGAGTCACTTTCAAGAAGTAAATATGAAGTGAGAGTATTACAATACCATTATTTAGATGTAATTTTATAGTAAGAGTAAAACTACATGTTCCAACTGTAAAATGTACAAATCAAACCAGAACAACACATACTGTTAAAGGGCATATTTTTCCATTAACTTTGATACAAAGAGAAGAAGGAAAATTGTCCTCTTGTTCACAACTTGTTTCAAATAAACAAAATCTGAAAATAAAGAAAATTTTAATATTCATTTATTTATGCTTACAATACAAGGAATTTCCTTGGTGATTTAATCAAGACCTCAATATGCATATAAAATAAAGAAAACACTACAGGTTACATTTTGGCAGTTCTAATGGACTTTTTTAGTGCATGTTGTCCATGGTGCTTTGATCATGACCAGAGTTATAAATCTGGTTAACAAAGGTTATCATGTAAAGAGCTGGTAACTCTGTGATGGCTGCCCCAAAGCCTGGATGAGAAATGAGGAGGGTTGGGCATGGGGTTAGCAACCCCAACCAATAGAAACACTCTTGCTACAGAAACCAAAGCCAGAGAAGATGTCAATAGAGCAAGGAATGAAGAACCCCAGACTCTGGGGATGATGATGGATGGCAGCCAAAACCAACCAGGCGCTGGCATATTGAAAACAAAATTTTATGGCCTTAGGTGCAGACAAAGACGGAGAGGATTAAGTATCAGTAAGCAAGTACAAATGTATAAATCAGAGTAAGATCTAAACTAATGGTTAACTGAAACAATAGAATGACACAAAAGGAATAGTGGTTAGCACTGATTAAATTTAAAGACTGTAAAACTTGGCAAATGATACCAGAAATAACTGTAATCAGGGGTTTCATTAGAGACTGGGTACTGGGAAAATTCACCAACTGTGAGGCCACTTTGGGCTGTCTGGTTAGACCATCTGGAGGAAAGTCTTTTTTTTTTTTTTATAAAAATTTCAGTTCAAAAACTTTTTCCTTCCTGTGAAATCTAATTGCCTTCCCGCTGAAAACAATAAGGAAACCTCTAACTGTTTGTGAATAACTCATTGATAACCATACCTTAATTGGACTTGTACTGTAAATTCATTTCTATAATTTGGCCGTGTATCCCTTCAAGAAACAGTGATTCATAAAGTTAGTCTTTGAAGATGATTACTTGCATCATTATATGACTGAGAAAATTACTTCATTGTGATTGGCTTAGAGCTGACCAATTTATAGTTAATTTTAAATTTGCACTGCAGTACAAAATAACACAAATTAACATTACCCAAGATATTTTTCATATTTCTATCACTTTTTAGTTTAAGTTGCAATCGCATTCACATGATTGTAACCTATACTTTCATGCTTACCGTACCCAAATTCCCAATCCTTGTCTACTGTCTTACTGCTGTCTTATGATATCAAGTCACTGAGCTGATACCTCTGATACTATGGGCAGATATGGGTACAATACATAACTAATCACACTTTTAATGGCATTTTTCAGAAGCACACTGCATCAGGTTTGTTTGATATAGGCCATGGATATCTCACCAAAATAAAAACACAGGCTTTGCCAAACACACCTGATATGCTGCCAAAGCATATCAAAAAGATGCAATTACATATAAATAAAATTGCATTTAGTATTGAGATAAAGTAAACAGTGGCAATGTAAATAGTTTATACTATGGCAGACTTACCCTGAATTACTTATAAGTTGAACTTGGCTTGGAGTAAAATGGAACATGACATAAGCTTCTTGAAACTGTGACATTCCGCGAGGAACTAAAAGCAATAATAAACATCACTACTACCAGTGCAAAGAGACTGCACTAGATTTAAAACTGAAAAATATTTTACATCTTCAAAATGTCATCTACGTATTTATTGTGCACCCATAGACATGATAAGTCACAATGACCCTCCAAAACCCCAATGGGCCACCCCACAGGCCATGTATTCCATAAAATGGAGAAACTGCACTGACTCCAGGTTAACTTTACTTACATACAATTTAACCAGGCTGGAATCTACTTCCAAAGTTTTTACTTCCAAGGTCCTCAAAGACTTCCTAACTTTGAATTTTGTTATTGACATGATTTATTAGTAAATGGACCTTAGAGTAATCAGCCTTGCTCTCCAACCTCAGCCAACTTTGAAATTACTAACCACTGCAAATTACTCTGTGAGTAGTACTCCACTCTGATCAATTTCATTTTACATACCAGTATATAGGAAAAAAATTACTCAATTCTTGGTTTAAAAAAAGAAAGTGATTTTATCCATAAAGGGAAACAAATATTCCAAAGTTTCCCAGAGATTACATAAGACTTTCAAAGGTTATTAAGACAAAAAGACATTAAAAAATGACCCTGTGATTCTGAACATTTTGTGAAGATGATCCCATGATTTCTGGAGATTTCATCTTGTATTTTCTTCAAAAGTTAAAGATTAATCACTTGCCTTTTTAAGATGTAAGCAAGTCTCGCAATCACTGCAAATTTGTGACTAGCCTATAACTTGCAATTTTCATGGCCTTGCCTTTTTTTTTTGCCATTTTTAGTTGGATCCAGATTTCACTTATTACCGGACTGTTACACCAGCTGAAAAAATGTGAAGAAACTCTCACAGGCCACTCATATGTGGGCTTCCAAAAATTAGTGCCCACTGGCTGTTTTTCTTTACAATATTTTCTCACATGACAACCAATCGCATCACACTTTAAATATATTTGGTCAGTGGAAAAATGTCCTAGGGGGTTACTGCATGCAAAATTCATGTATAACCTCACACATGGTTTAAAGTAATATTTCCAAGCATGTAAATATTGCTCTATAGAAATGTAGTGGAACATGAAAGGAAGAAGGTTTGCTATCTTAATGTTATATAATATTGATCTGTAGGTGCATATTTATTTCTTGAAGATCCTTTAAAAATTTTGATCACTTATGGTGACATAGGCATTGACGCAGGTACTGTGAAGTGTACAAAAGTATTAGACTGCTTGAGGTTTAGTTGGTGTTGATTTTCCAGTTGTAAAATTTTTTAGCTTACAATAAAAAGTGGTACCTGCAACACAATGTTACTAACAGTAATTACCAACTTTAACACTGTTTTTTCCCCCGAAATTATTTTGAGTTAACTTCAATCTAAATAGATAGGATCCTAAAGACTATTTCTTTTTCTTTTTTGATGTCCCTTCACAAACTTAACACAGTATGCATCAGCACGAAGAGCAAAGTACACAGAACAGAACAAAACAAAACAAAACACGTAAAGAGAACAGTAACGTAATAGAACTCGTTTGGATTACGTTATAAAAAAAGTGATCAAATAAATAACATCGATTACTCAGCAAGTCAATTCAAGTAAAGATATTTATTTCTTTACCTTCAACCCAAGGTTGTATCAAATGATATAAAAAATTTCGCGTTGCAAGTAAGCGTAACTTATATTGAAGTGTGCGGTCATGTTTTCGTTATGTGATTTCTTCTGGAACGAATAAAAACTGCGTGATTTTGAATGTACGCTCCAGGTCATGAAACCAAGCCTGGACATGTACGTTCAGTCCTAAAACTCGAGGTTGGCATTGTTTCCAAAGACACTGGCCGAAATCCTCTACGTTTCTTAACTACCGCTTTCAGAACGAGGTGACAAACTATGACGCATCAAAGAAATCTCCAGAAAATACACAACACGTTAATAGACTCAGGCAAATAACAACGGTAAAAAACCCAGAAAACCACAAAGACAGCTTATTTTCTAATTAGAATACACCTCATGGATAAAAACAAGACTTACCTAAGCTTGTTGGTCTCACTAAATCGTCAATGTGTTCAAAGAAAGGCAAATGAGAAAGTCGAACATCCGGATGAACAGGAACGCCGGTTGTGTCTGAATTGATTGCCGAAGGACGTTGAACTGGTTGAGGTATGACAGCTCGAGGTTGAGGTTGAGGCACAACAACTTTCCGAGGACATCGTCTCTCGTATAACTCCCGTAATTTCTTTCTTACAGGGTTGTTTCCGTCGCTTTTCAACATTTGAAGGGCCCGACCCATAAGTTCATGCTTTCTTCCCGACTTTGACCGTCCCGCAAAACCGAGTAATGATTGAAGTTCCGATACGCGAAAACTCAATAACATGTGCTGTGTAGAAAGAAATGGATTTGATATTCAAAATTAATACTATCATTCCATGAACACACGTCAAAGAAGCAAATTCCGACGGCTTTTTCTTACCCGAAGATCCGCCAATTCGTCCATGTTGCTTTTTGTGAAATTTACTCGGCGGCTCGACCCAGTTCCTCGAGCTGTCCTCGGTAATTACAGGGAAGAACAATTAGTTAAATGACGTCACAAAAAATAATTTTATTTGCCGTTACATTTCAATTTCCGCTAATTATGCTAATCACGTAGTGAGAGATTCTTTGAAACTCTTCCGTTTTACGGCGAGATTTTCTGTGCTTTACGCATGTCTATCGAGAAGAGGGCTAAAAGTCTGGGAGATTATTATAGGGCTTGGCCAGCTCATCAAATGGACATGATAAAGACGTAAACAATAATAGAGTAATCAATGAGTAATCAACATTTTTTGTCATTGATTGGCGATGGTCAATGAGTAATCAATGATTAATTGATAATCAAAATTCTGTGGCCTATCAATTAAATTCAGAGATTATCTTTTTATTACCCATCAATTAGACATCACAAAATTAATCATGTATTGTTAGGCTGCACATCCATATTTATGATTTTACAGCAACAAGGAAAAGAGGAAAATCTTCAAACTCAACTTGGCAAATGAAATTCTCTGCCTTACAGAGCAGAACGCTTATTAACAAAGGCAATTTGTAAACTTCACGACAAAGTCCTCCTTCTGCAATCTGTAAATATTAAGCAAAATGTTGTCGTGTCTGCACTGCTAGTGCCTGCTGGAGTTTCAGCTTTAGGAAGTAGGAAAAACTGAAAGTTCAGGAAAATGCCTTTCTTTCATAGTTCGATTGTTACTGTAATAAAAGGTAGGACTGGCAGCAGTCAAAATCACAATGCTTTGCCAGGACAAGAGCTTCAGAGGTTTTGTCCAATTGAAAGGCGCAATAACTGTAAAGGGAAAGAATTCAACCAAACCTCCCTCGTAGTAATGTTATTTATTTATTTNTACTAGGCCTTTTTGATTCAGTATTAGGATTGCAGTGTTGTGACGTGTTCCCCTGGAAGTAAAAGTGTCAATCAATTCCAGTAAAACATGAGAACAAATCTTATGACTTGTATTTGTCACATGAAGGTGTACAGGTAACTAGGTAAAGGGGTATACATGTCCATGAAGTTGCTCTCCATCCTTCTGGATGGGTTGGTACAGTTATCATTTTGTCAGGCTGCCTTCTTTGGCTAGCACCGTCAAATCATGCTCTTACATGTAATCACTGTCCTTGATATGGACACCTTGTTATTCTGGACAGTGGATTTAAAAGATATGTCATGGATATCTTTTCTTTAAATTATTTTATATTATTTTATATTATTTTATATATCTCTGTATTAATTAATGAAAAAAGGGTAATAAAGAGGATGTTGTTGTTGTTGTTAAAAAATACTGTTAATCTAGTCCAACACACCAGCACCACAGTATTCTCATAACAGGTCTACAAGTACTTTAATGGACTCAGTGTCAAAATCTCAGAGTGAAAGAGTCACTTTCAAGAAGTAAATATGAAGTGAGAGTATTACAATACCATTATTTAGATGTAATTTTATAGTAAGAGTAAAACTACATGTTCCAACTGTAAAATGTACAAATCAAACCAGAACAACACATACTGTTAAAGGGCATATTTTTCCATTAACTTTGATACAAAGAGAAGAAGGAAAATTGTCCTCTTGTTCACAACTTGTTTCAAATAAACAAAATCTGAAAATAAAGAAAATTTTAATATTCATTTATTTATGCTTACAATACAAGGAATTTCCTTGGTGATTTAATCAAGACCTCAATATGCATATAAAATAAAGAAAACACTACAGGTTACATTTTGGCAGTTCTAATGGACTTTTTTAGTGCATGTTGTCCATGGTGCTTTGATCATGACCAGAGTTATAAATCTGGTTAACAAAGGTTATCATGTAAAGAGCTGGTAACTCTGTGATGGCTGCCCCAAAGCCTGGATGAGAAATGAGGAGGGTTGGGCATGGGGTTAGCAACCCCAACCAATAGAAACACTCTTGCTACAGAAACCAAAGCCAGAGAAGATGTCAATAGAGCAAGGAATGAAGAACCCCAGACTCTGGGGATGATGATGGATGGCAGCCAAAACCAACCAGGCGCTGGCATATTGAAAACAAAATTTTATGGCCTTAGGTGCAGACAAAGACGGAGAGGATTAAGTATCAGTAAGCAAGTACAAATGTATAAATCAGAGTAAGATCTAAACTAATGGTTAACTGAAACAATAGAATGACACAAAAGGAATAGTGGTTAGCACTGATTAAATTTAAAGACTGTAAAACTTGGCAAATGATACCAGAAATAACTGTAATCAGGGGTTTCATTAGAGACTGGGTACTGGGAAAATTCACCAACTGTGAGGCCACTTTGGGCTGTCTGGTTAGACCATCTGGAGGAAAGTCTTTTTTTTTTTTTTATAAAAATTTCAGTTCAAAAACTTTTTCCTTCCTGTGAAATCTAATTGCCTTCCCGCTGAAAACAATAAGGAAACCTCTAACTGTTTGTGAATAACTCATTGATAACCATACCTTAATTGGACTTGTACTGTAAATTCATTTCTATAATTTGGCCGTGTATCCCTTCAAGAAACAGTGATTCATAAAGTTAGTCTTTGAAGATGATTACTTGCATCATTATATGACTGAGAAAATTACTTCATTGTGATTGGCTTAGAGCTGACCAATTTATAGTTAATTTTAAATTTGCACTGCAGTACAAAATAACACAAATTAACATTACCCAAGATATTTTTCATATTTCTATCACTTTTTAGTTTAAGTTGCAATCGCATTCACATGATTGTAACCTATACTTTCATGCTTACCGTACCCAAATTCCCAATCCTTGTCTACTGTCTTACTGCTGTCTTATGATATCAAGTCACTGAGCTGATACCTCTGATACTATGGGCAGATATGGGTACAATACATAACTAATCACACTTTTAATGGCATTTTTCAGAAGCACACTGCATCAGGTTTGTTTGATATAGGCCATGGATATCTCACCAAAATAAAAACACAGGCTTTGCCAAACACACCTGATATGCTGCCAAAGCATATCAAAAAGATGCAATTACATATAAATAAAATTGCATTTAGTATTGAGATAAAGAAAACAGTGGCAATGTAAATAGTTTATACGATGGCAGACTTACCCTGAATTACTTATAAGTTGAACTTGGCTTGGAGTAAAATGGAACATGACATAAGCTTCTTGAAACTGTGACATTCCGCGAGGAACTAAAAGCAATAATAAACATCACTACTACCAGTGCAAAGAGACTGCACTAGATTTAAAACTGAAAAATATTTTACATCTTCAAAATGTCATCTACGTATTTATTGTGCACCCATAGACATGATAAGTCACAATGACCCTCCAAAACCCCAATGGGCCACCCCACAGGCCATGTATTCCATAAAATGGAGAAACTGCACTGACTCCAGGTTAACTTTACTTACATACAATTTAACCAGGCTGGAATCTACTTCCAAAGTTTTTACTTCCAAGGTCCTCAAAGACTTCCTAACTTTGAATTTTGTTATTGACATGATTTATTAGTAAATGGACCTTAGAGTAATCAGCCTTGCTCTCCAACCTCAGCCAACTTTGAAATTACTAACCACTGCAAATTACTCTGTGAGTAGTACTCCACTCTGATCAATTTCATTTTACATACCAGTATATAGGAAAAAAATTACTCAATTCTTGGTTTAAAAAAAGAAAGTGATTTTATCCATAAAGGGAAACAAATATTCCAAAGTTTCCCAGAGATTACATAAGACTTTCAAAGGTTATTAAGACAAAAAGACATTAAAAAATGACCCTGTGATTCTGAACATTTTGTGAAGATGATCCCATGATTTCTGGAGATTTCATCTTGTATTTTCTTCAAAAGTTAAAGATTAATCACTTGCCTTTTTAAGATGTAAGCAAGTCTCGCAATCACTGCAAATTTGTGACTAGCCTATAACTTGCAATTTTCATGGCCTTGCCTTTTTTTTTTGCCATTTTTAGTTGGATCCAGATTTCACTTATTACCGGACTGTTACACCAGCTGAAAAAATGTGAAGAAACTCTCACAGGCCACTCATATGTGGGCTTCCAAAAATTAGTGCCCACTGGCTGTTTTTCTTTACAATATTTTCTCACATGACAACCAATCGCATCACACTTTAAATATATTTGGTCAGTGGAAAAATGTCCTAGGGGGTTACTGCATGCAAAATTCATGTATAACCTCACACATGGTTTAAAGTAATATTTCCAAGCATGTAAATATTGCTCTATAGAAATGTAGTGGAACATGAAAGGAAGAAGGGTTGCTATCTTAATGTTATATAATATTGATCTGTAGGTGCATATTTATTACTTGAAGATCCTTTAAAAATTTTGATCACTTATGGTGACATAGGCATTGACGCAGGTACTGTGAAGTGTACAAAAGTATTAGACTGCTTGAGGTTTAGTTGGTGTTGATTTTCCAGTTGTAAAATTTTTTAGCTTACAATAAAAAGTGGTACCTGCAACACAATGTTACTAACAGTAATTACCAACTTTAACACTGTTTTTTCCCCCGAAATTATTTTGAGTTAACTTCAATCTAAATAGATAGGATCCTAAAGACTATTTCTTTTTCTTTTTTGATGTCCCTTCACAAACTTAACACAGTATGCATCAGCACGAAGAGCAAAGTACACAGAACAGAACAAAACAAAACAAAACACGTAAAGAGAACAGTAACGTAATAGAACTCGTTTGGATTACGTTATAAAAAAAGTGATCAAATAAATAACATCGATTACTCAGCAAGTCAATTCAAGTAAAGATATTTATTTCTTTACCTTCAACCCAAGGTTGTATCAAATGATATAAAAAATTTCGCGTTGCAAGTAAGCGTAACTTATATTGAAGTGTGCGGTCATGTTTTCGTTATGTGATTTCTTCTGGAACGAATAAAAACTGCGTGATTTTGAATGTACGCTCCAGGTCATGAAACCAAGCCTGGACATGTACGTTCAGTCCTAAAACTCGAGGTTGGCATTGTTTCCAAAGACACTGGCCGAAATCCTCTACGTTTCTTAACTACCGCTTTCAGAACGAGGTGACAAACTATGACGCATCAAAGAAATCTCCAGAAAATACACAACACGTTAATAGACTCAGGCAAATAACAACGGTAAAAAACCCAGAAAACCACAAAGACAGCTTATTTTCTAATTAGAATACACCTCATGGATAAAAACAAGACTTACCTAAGCTTGTTGGTCTCACTAAATCGTCAATGTGTTCAAAGAAAGGCAAATGAGAAAGTCGAACATCCGGATGAACAGGAACGCCGGTTGTGTCTGAATTGATTGCCGAAGGACGTTGAACTGGTTGAGGTATGACAGCTCGAGGTTGAGGTTGAGGCACAACAACTTTCCGAGGACATCGTCTCTCGTATAACTCCCGTAATTTCTTTCTTACAGGGTTGTTTCCGTCGCTTTTCAACATTTGAAGGGCCCGACCCATAAGTTCATGCTTTCTTCCCGACTTTGACCGTCCCGCAAAACCGAGTAATGATTGAAGTTCCGATACGCGAAAACTCAATAACATGTGCTGTGTAGAAAGAAATGGATTTGATATTCAAAATTAATACTATCATTCCATGAACACACGTCAAAGAAGCAAATTCCGACGGCTTTTTCTTACCCGAAGATCCGCCAATTCGTCCATGTTGCTTTTTGTGAAATTTACTCGGCGGCTCGACCCAGTTCCTCGAGCTGTCCTCGGTAATTACAGGGAAGAACAATTAGTTAAATGACGTCACAAAAAATAATTTTATTTGCCGTTACATTTCAATTTCCGCTAATTATGCTAATCACGTAGTGAGAGATTCTTTGAAACTCTTCCGTTTTACGGCGAGATTTTCTGTGCTTTACGCATGTCTATCGAGAAGAGGGCTAAAAGTCTGGGAGATTATTATAGGGCTTGGCCAGCTCATCAAATGGACATGATAAAGACGTAAACAATAATAATGAGTAATCAATGAGTAATCAACATTTTTTGTCATTGATTGGCGATGGTCAATGAGTAATCAATGATTAATTGATAATCAAAATTCTGTGGCCTATCAATTAAATTCAGAGATTATCTTTTTATTACCCATCAATTAGACATCACAAAATTAATCATGTATTGTTAGGCTGCACATCCATATTTATGATTTTACAGCAACAAGGAAAAGAGGAAAATCTTCAAACTCAACTTGGCAAATGAAATTCTCTGCCTTACAGAGCAGAACGCTTATTAACAAAGGCAATTTGTAAACTTCACGACAAAGTCCTCCTTCTGCAATCTGTAAATATTAAGCAAAATGTTGTCGTGTCTGCACTGCTAGTGCCTGCTGGAGTTTCAGCTTTAGGAAGTAGGAAAAACTGAAAGTTCAGGAAAATGCCTTTCTTTCATAGTTCGATTGTTACTGTAATAAAAGGTAGGACTGGCAGCAGTCAAAATCACAATGCTTTGCCAGGACAAGAGCTTCAGAGGTTTTGTCCAATTGAAAGGCGCAATAACTGTAAAGGGAAAGAATTCAACCAAACCTCCCTCGTAGTAATGTTATTTATTTATTTTTGTTTTTTGTTGCATTAAATTGTATTTAACCAATTTAAGAAATAAAAAATTTTCAAAATTTAAAATGTCAGATAATTCATCATATTAACCTTGTCCATATCAATATATGTATAAATATATCCACAATTCATATCATTTTCTCTGTACAGTATATACAATATTAGTACCAAAATAGATTGCACGGCAAATATTGACATGCATTTGAGCTTAACAGGAAGAGGTAGTTACTCCAAACATAGCTGATAGAGGGGAATGGTTATGAAACCCGACAAAGTTCTTTGTTGTATGTTTTTGTTCGGTTTTGACTGTGCAAAAAACACAATAAACTGTTGTTTACCACTGACCAAGGGACTAACTAATAGAAATGTTTTGGTTATGTAATTAATGCACACTGTGCAAGCTAAAAACAAAAGATTGTGCATGGTCACGGACCATCCAACATAAATCTTTAAGTCTTTGTTTGCTCCTTTGAAGTTTGCCAGCCTTCATAACCATTGCCCTCTATTAACTATGCTCCAAACAAACTAAATGCTAATAAACACTCACATGTAAGCAGTTCTCTTTTCCACTTTATAAAATGTAGAGCAACATAATATAAGAAAAATGCAACATGGTGCAGAAAATGCCACAGTGCACAAACAGCTGCAAGGACATTCAAGGCTTTCACTAAGGGCTGAGCACTGGGCAAATTGACCGGCTGTGAGAACCTTTTCGCCTGCCTCTTTGGCCATCTGGCAGATAGTTTTTGTTATAAAGAAATTCGGTTCAAATAGTTTTGCCTGCCTGTGAAAACCAGTTGCCCTCCTACTGACAATGTTAATGAAACCCCTGGCGCATCCTTTCAAATTTTCCATTTCTTATTTCATGATTCACAAAGGAAATGATAAACTGCGCAGAATTTTAAACTTAGTTCTCCACCACTGCCCTTAGTTGGACACCTTCTGTAACCAGACACTTAGGTCTAACTTCTTCCATACAAACTCTTTCCATGGATGTGTAGACACTTTTCCTGGCCTTACAAGAGGTTCGACTAAGTTTATTATAATAGCACTTTGTCACTCACATACCATAAACAATGACCGTTTCACAATGGTAGTTATTTAAAACCTGTCACACTCAATACAGTGGAAACCTGATTTCTCAAACCCTATTTTTTTAACCTCCCGATAACTCAAAACCAAAAGTCGTTTCCCTCTGCTCAGCCAAACACTGTAATTTTAACCCCTGATTACTCAAACTATCTGATTTTTCAAACCAATTCTTGTTTCCCTTGGAGGTTCGAAAAATCTGGACTCCACTGTAATTCTCTTTTGTTTTGTAAATCATGCGGAGATTTGAAATACTGATGTGAAAGGAACAAAGCTTACTAACCATTAATTTATTCTTTGAGCTTTGACAGATGAGTCCTAATAACTTAAAAACAAGTTACTTAACTTCAGCAGATTGTGCATAATAAAATCAATATTTATTAAAAATACCATTTAAAATGGTGGCTACTACCTCTTCCTCTGAAAGTATATAAATACTTTTCATATCCTTAAAGTGTGGTAAAATTAATATTTTGCCAAGGGCAAAATGTCATATTTTTATTGCTGCACAAAAGACTGGTCTATTGCCTCCTCATCATTTGGTGTGCAGAGGCATGTTTCACAAGTGCCTGTTTTACTTCTTGACCTACTACTTCTGTGACCAGCATCTTTCTTTTAGATTTTCTGCTTTTCCAGATGCCGAGTGGAAGAACATAATCTTGAGAAAGTACTTTCTTTTCCTGCATGTCATGTTGTTAACCCAAGTTTTCTTGAAAGCTGCAAAGAAAATGAAGCAATCAATCATGTTTTTTTTTCATTTTTTCAAGAACAACATCAAATAACGGCACTTAAACATGACATACACCATCCAAAAGCATCACTACATATGATATAAAAGAAATAAATTTTTGGTCATAGCAAACACTTTTGAAAGTGCCACTGATGAAAACGAGGCAAAGACCCACTAAACATTTTTCATTGTTTGTGAACACATTTTTATCCACTCAGTCAAATGAATCCTCCTGGGCTGAGTCCAAGAGAAAATACTTTGTTGTTCCTTTCAATTCTCATTTCTAAAAGCAAGCCACAAACATGATACAACTATCAAACTTGATAGTGTGGCCAACGAAAAGATTTGGTGTGTTACTCAAGTTCTAAAACTTCACAGCAATTACCGTAAAAGACTATTAGATGAACATACCTCCTCATAAACAGTCCAGGATAAAGCTGCCATAAGAGTTCTTCTCAGAGTGCGGGGAACTAAACCCTTGAAGAGTCCTTGTACTCCATTTGTCTAAGGAGAACATATTTTGTTTTATTTTCAGATTAAATAGTTATAATAAAAGCGTCACTTAAAATTCTGCTCAAAGTTCAAGCAATAAGCGCAGTTATTTATTAATTTACTCATAGTGGGGTCACATTTTGAAAACAATTTGAAACGTTCCACTCTAATCCATTTCTTTATGCAATCCCGCCATTAAAGTCTCAAGTGCTCTCCAGAAAGTTAAGGTGAAATCTCTTAAAAAGGTTTAAAGCTTGTGTTGTTTTGTTTTGAACTAATGTGAACATCAATTTTTAATTTTAAAAATATGGATGACTTCAAATTCAATTTTCTCTTGCAGTGTCAGCTTTAGAGCTGAAGTCTGGAGAGGTTCTTCTTAACCCTATTCAAAATGTTAGCATGCTATGAGGTTTTGATTTTTTCCTTCATTGTTTGAATCAGCATAATTTTTTCTGGATTGCCCATTTATTGTTAATGAAAGGTGCAATGCTTTCTTTAGTGGTTTGATTGAAAAAATAACTTGTGTTGGAGGTTACAAACAGCTTAATACTTGAGACAAGTACTTAATTACCTTGAAAACAGAAAAGACAGCACTGCCAGTACTATTATACTTGTGTGGAAATAACTGAAGTCTTGTCTTCACTACATCTGCTGGCTGAGTTACAACTGATGCCATGATGCCAGCAAAAGCACCACAGGTAAATGTCTCAAATGAGCTCAGTTCAGGTGTGCCAAGTTCTGATAGATGAGACACAATCATTAAACATCTGTTCAAAGTAAGACACAAAGCAAAGAGTGCCCATCGGGAACACATCAGCCAAAATAAGAAACAAGATACTGAAGCAGAGTCAATGTTTTAGCTGTCACAAGCTTAATCAGCGACAGCGATCAGCCACTGTTTAATACACTGTATTATTCCTGCCAACTTTTTCAGAGTCCCAGGTGAGAGACCCAACTACATCCAATTATTAACAACTAGGACATTCTGAGGATCTCCAAGGACATTTCAAACATTCACTAGCTCCTGTTTCAGGAAAATGTTTTTCCTTGAAAATGGGAGAATTGGGGGAACTCTATGGTCATGTACATCACATGGACTTTTCTTTCCTTGCATAGGTTGCAGTTAACATATCTCTGAAAGTGTGTTAGTTAAGGTTGTAAATGGCTCAAGCACTTCAGCTCGGAATGAAGACATGATCTTCTGCTACTGCTGGAAGCTTGAATGCAATGTAGTTAACACAGTTAAATGACTTCTCTCTTGATGTTGGCATAATTTATTATTGTTATTTGTTATTGTCTCCAGAAAATATCTTCTTACCATTCTTGGCCTGTCTCTTTATCTCAGTGTAGAACATCAAGTAAATCCCTGAAAATGGAGCATCCCGTGCAACTGTTGCCAGCAACCCACTATACAGGCCTACAACAAAAAGTACACTGTCAACATATAACATTTTTCTCAACAGATTTTTGTAACCAGATGATATCTCACAGCACGTTAAAAACAATAAGCAATACAAAAAAACCTTAAAAATACCGCCTTACCTTTGCCTCCTTCACTTTTCCAAATTGACATCAATGCATGTCGCATACTGTTATATCCATAAAATCCACTCTGCAATCAAGGAAATTAACACCAAATTGTTAGTTAGATATTTATTTATCTATTTATTTATTATCTTCTGATGAGAGCTACATCACTTACAACCTTTGTGAACTTCTTCAGCAATACATTTTACCTCCCCAAACTTTACTGAAGCATACCTCAAATCTTGTTTTAACTACTGTGACTGGCAGCAGAGTGATTCCTGCTACAGTTCTTGCACATGCTCCTAATACAACTGATTCTCCCATTGTTCTTTCACCACTGTAGCAAAGAAGGAAACAAATAGTGGCTTTGAGAACAGGAGAACTAAAAACTAAATTTTTCATTTAACAAGCACGCTCTCATACTTTATTACAGTGCAAAGCACATGCAGACAAAAAAAATTAAAGTGCATGACTAGAACAACACAGCTGTTGCGCTGTCATTAAGTCTTGAGTCACCTATTGTTTTTGATCTTCAAAACTGTAACAAAATTGTGGCTTTATGGGTGAGTTATATCAACCACAAGCAGGTTCACCTGCAACATCAAGGAACTACCACACATACCCAACCACTACAGGTATTATGGGTTACAGGCCTTAATGAGAGCCCTACAGCTTTTACCACAAAGTTCACAAGAAAATATTAACAAGAATTCAGATGGTCTTTCAAAGGAAATTGAAAGAAAAAATTGATCCTTAATGTGACACTCAGTACACAACTTAACTTCTCTGAAAAAAAGTAAAGCTTTAGTACAAGACAAATAAAAAAGGTTTGACCATGCATTGTCAACCCCCCCCCCCCTAGAAACTTACAGGAGTGCTCAAGAAAGCAGGGAGAAACAGTCACCTACTGCTAGTGTTTTTCCTTATACTTTTTGTTGTACTCTCTTCAAGCCTTTCTTACTTATAACCTAGACCCTTACACCAGTACAAGCATTGCCATAAGTATTGATACAGTAAAGTGGTGTAGAAAGGTAGACCTGCAGAACAGATTACACCCTCTCCCTCCCCATAAAAGTGGTTGACCTAGACCTTGATTAGTCGAGAAATAATGGCCCATTTAAATGTCTAGGAAAATTAACATGGCTTATGTCTTAAATACAAACCTGGTAAATTGAGTCAGACCATGGAGAGTACAGAAATACATTCCTATACCAGGAACACATCTTGACAAGGACTACAAAAAAGAAATAGAAAATACATACCTAAGTATAAAGATCTGAAAACCAGGGAAATTATATTGTTTCCCCTCTCTGTAGTAGACATAAGAAACAATATACTGAAGCGGAGTGAATGTTTTAGCGACCACAAGCTTTTGACGCTGTCACAGCATCTTTCTCAAGTTAATGTGCAGAATCTACTTATCATGTGGGCTTGGGTTAATGTAGTCACGTATCAAAACATCCTCGTATAGGGCCAGAAGTTCAAATCCATGGTCTCAATTGAGCATCAGGGACTGGCACAGCCACCTTACTGTCTTCCAACCTGTGGCCTGTGTCCCTAAGGTGTTTTCCAACAGCAGAAAGTGTCAATCTATTAGTGTTAGAATGTTCCTTTAAACAGACGTTAAAGGGTCCGGCAGTTTCCCCGATATAGATCTTTTTAAAATCAGCACACTCTCATTGAGTTATTTTTTTGTAAAAAAAATACCTCTTAGTCGGAGCGTCGGGTATGTTATGGACGGGTCAATGGGTGAGTGAGTGAGTGAGTGAGAGATGTATGTATGTCACACCAATCAGATTGGATCTACTATGAACAG